GACTTAAATTCATTTACTCTATCCATTTAATTATTTATTCTCTGTAACAGTTTAGACAATAATTTACTTATACGTGTCGGACATTAATTACTCTTCTAATCTATTGTTATTTCTATTTGGCATATGTTAATCTTCTTAATCCTTTAATTGCTTGTGCTTATATATATATTGTTATTGTTTGTATGTTACTTTACATTTGGTTTGGAGTTTGTTGTTCGGTCTTGCCGGACTGCTAAAATAAAAGTTTAAGGAGCGAAATATTCCTTCTTGATTTCCATTTAGCCGGAACGCCATTTTACCCGGCTATACGAACAACACATGGTCTAGAAAGCCAGACTTGGTACATTCACACAATGGTGTGGGTTTAAATCAGTTATACGTGCTCACAAACTTATCCCTTTGTCTACTTTAAACATGTACCACTGTATTGCCTTACTATATTGCTAACCTTGAAATAAGTGATGGTGAAATATAAACGTTCAAACAGAAAATGGTGCGTTTATAAAATTAGAGAAGAAAATTATTATTACCTCAACAGGTACGTCACAAGTAAAAATCAAAATGTTAATATACAATGGTCAACACAAGACTGTATCAGCACAACACAAGGAAACAGACAAGCTGATCAAAATTATGCACTTATGTAAACAGCCGACAGCATTTGACATATTTAGTCTGTAAATTACTCAACTTAAAGGCATATTCGCTTTCACACCTTATCCCAAGAGGATTGGGTAGGTTTAATTTTTCAAATACTTTAATTATGATTAATATGGAACATTAGCCAAATGACAGGACAAGATAAATGTGCATTGGATATTACCATTTTTTTCATAGACAATTTACTATCAAATGAACCCAGACTAATTAATATCCGGAACATTAAATAAACTGTGGTATAGCGTCTGAGCATTATATTATATTGGTTTAATGCTAGGGAGGTGTCAAGTATAACCTAATGGACGATACCTAACAACTTTAAACAATTATCCTGAGATCACTAAACCTTTTTAAGTGTATATAAAACAGTAGTTGTCTCATCGAAGTATTAGGTTTAAGTTACAAATGGGACCAGCTACACCTATGAAATCGAAATTATTTTCATCTGAGATTTTGTTACAAAATATTAGGTTATTTGTACAAAAGTATTCTCATGGCTACATAAAATCCGGTACTATAGTGACAAATATCACTTGTTATCCCGGACAGTACTATAATAACAATAATAAAGACTAAAATATGTTGTCAGTGTAAATAAAGTTTCTTCCTGGCTTGAAACGACTTGTTTGCAAATTATAAACAACTTTCATACAAGTGGGGAAGGGGGGAGTTATGCTAGCTATACATCTATGTTTAACCCATCATTTTCTTCGGAAAATGCCTGTACCATATCAGGAAAATGACAGTTGTATTCTCGGTATTATTATCCATTCGTTCCGTTGGTTGATATAGTCGAGCGTTTTATTTTGTAAGGTTTTATGGACTTCATTCTTTTTAAATTTACCTTGGAGTTCGGTGTTATTGTTAATACTTTTTTGCTCACGTAATTATTTAAAAGAGTTTTAACTCATTGAAAATTAAAATGTATTTCTGTTCCCTTTGCAGTTAACTTATTAGTGGTAGGTTTGTGGTTTAAGCAGTGTTCTATTGTGCAACCTTAACTCCAAAACTCACCTATTGTCTTTCTTAAATAATGTTTATATACAGGTTGCAATATGGTAAAAATATTGTTCTACTGCCATAATGATTCAGTTGACTGCTATTGAAAATCTTTATCATAGATGACTACGGTTATGTTCAACTATATAAAATCGTAGCAACAGACTTTTCCTCTTTTCCGCTTTTGCGACATATCTGCATTAGACTAGTCATTGAAATTTTACTTGCAGTGAGTATAGCACTACGGGTGCAACTCCTGGAACAGAAACTGCTTAATTGTCCGTCTGTGTCACCAGAGTTCGCGTACTGTGTTTGCTGGTGTTTTTGTTGGTCAATCGTTAGTGCTGTGTAGTGTTTTCTAGCCTTTTTGTCATTTCTTTGGACCATGTCTATTTTTCTTAATGTGCTTTAGTGCTCCCTCGATATCTTCTACTCTTTTTATATTAAGAGACTAACTGTATTATTTAACCATTTGATTGTATTTGTACTTTGCCTTTGAAAAGGGTATTTGAATTGTGTAGTATTGCTGTTCAAGATCAGCTACGAATGTTTCACGTTGTGCTGTTTGCTAACACTATTTTCAGAACACAGTCTATTATTTCTTTTATTCAACATGCCGTTTAATTTATATGTACATCGTGTTCTTATAAAGAAAAGTATACTATTTATGAAAACGTCCAATGATAGGAGCCAATAATAGAAACTCTGGACACATTTTATTTTTATCTATTGTATCTATTTGTACGGTGCTTGTGCTGGATAAAAAAAACAATGTCGAAGACAAGCTTAAAAGACGAAACTGATATGAATAAATTCATCACAGAAATCCAGGACTAAAATTGTGTACGCCAGACTGCGTTTTGTCTACAAAAGACTCATCAACAGGTAATTTAGGTTCGTCGTGGATGTTGAACATTTATTTTCTGTAGACGTTAGCCGCATATTTGCAATGGAAGAGGTCGTTAAATGATAAATTGGTGAGGTATAAATATATACAAGGCACGATAGAGGAAGCTGGTTTTTCTGGAAACGTATCGATAAAATTTTGGAAAGTTACTGTATCCAAAAACAAGGAATGATCAATCAATTTTAGAAAGCACTTGCCATAGATCTAACTAAGTAAGGGAATACAAATAAACGGTACCAATGTGGTAAAATTTTCTAGCTAGTGGTATAAATGTGACAGATAATTTTTTTAAAGCATTAAAAGTTATGAATTTATGAAATTGTTGAGGAGGAAGATAGTTTGATAGCCTGTGTAAAGTGAACTGGGGTTTATTTTTTTTAACTTTCTCTACTAGATGCAAATATCAGTACCTTCATAAAGGATGAAGTATAACAGCGTTTAAAAGACTAGTAAGAAAAACACAAACCTATTAAACATCATAAATCAAACAAACATCGGCTGCATAAAACAGGAATGATCTAAAAGTAACAAAAATTAAAGTTTTGGAATAATTGATATTGATGATAAGAAAAGGAACAAGCTTTATTCCTATAAGGTTTAGTTTAAATATCTATGGTTGCTACCATTGGAAAAGAAAGTTAAGTAAATCTTTACAAAATATGAAGGGCGCAATTGACTTTAGGCAGCTAAAATGAGAAATTTGTATTTTTAGATACAGCTTTGTCATAATTTCAATTGGCCATAGATTACCAATTTAATCATCTATAATAAACCTATGCAAAACCGTGTTCTATTCTTTGTTATTCTTTTCAGATTGTTTAAGGTATTTATTATTTAAGTCTGAGATCATAAGTTAAAACGCTTCCACAATTTATTCCAAACACAAAGACAACTGAAAGGTTTTACAAATCGATCTGTTGATTGTATTCACACGGTTTAATGACTTTTATGGTAATAAATATCAACATCAAAGAGTCCCCTGAATAGGCTTACAATGAAGGTACTTGATTTGGCAGTTGACAATGTTTTTAAGACAATACTTTTATTGGCCCTTTCAAGTGCAAAACTGTACATCAGTGTAATTACTCGATGATTCGGTGACCAATACAGACACGTCGTCGATCTCAGCTTAGAATTCCCTGCTTTTTGTAGGGTCTATTCGCTGTGAAATGAAATGAAAAAAAAAATATTTGTGTAAAGGTTAATTAGGGAAACAAATACCGTACACTGATTTGTTTATGTCTGCATGTTGTCACTTAATGTTCTCTTTACACTAGAATACATCCGAATAAAAACGGCATATGAAGTGCATAATTATTTTTATTCTCAAAAGTTACATTGTCAATTGGTAAACTACATGTATAGAACTCGTTGATTTTGAAAGAAGTGAACTATTTTCGATAAGTTCAATTGCTTTATTCCGTTTGTCATGTGTTTGATTGGCTGGTCTAAAACTTTAAACCTAAATGTCATTTAAGGACGTTGTGGTGCGTTTTTGTTTAGAAGTTTTGGGCTCTTTTTGAACCAGTGTTTTTTATTTTTATAATTATTTAAAGGATATGATTTTGTATTTTGTTCATATCTTAACTGAACATGTGGAATGGGACACACGATCCTTTTCGTTCCATATTATATAGAACTGAATGTTTTATAATTTCGGAATTTAACTACCACATTCGTTTTCAACCTTATATTTGAATAGATATAGGAAGATGTGGTATGAGTGCCAATGAGACAACTCTCCATCCAAGTTACAATTTATAAAAGTAAACCATTATAGGTCAAGGTACGGCCTTCAACACGGAGCATTGGCTCACACCGAACAGCAAGCTATAAAGGGCCCCAAAAAATTACTAGTGTAAAACCATTCAAACGGAAAAACCAACGGTGAAGTCTTTTTCATAGTTTCTGAGATAGTTTTTGACATGTGATAACCAGCATTTTAGAAAACAATACTGTATGAGTATGGTAATTTTATTCACTTCCTGGTAAAAATCGAGGACAGAATTTGGACTATTTACTTTAGCCCGAATAATTCAGTCCCACCCCGTAATCGATCTATAGAACTTGCGAGGCGAATATAAAGACTGAACTATTCGGGTTTTATTTACTTATATATTCTTCAACCATAGTGTATACATTTCAGATTCACACATAATCATAAGGAAGATGAAAGTTAGACGAATAGCCTTCTGTGCTTTGCTCATTGTTGAAAGCCGTACGGTGACCTATAGTTGTTAATTTCTGTGTCATTTGGTCTCTTGTGGAGAGTTGTCTCATACCACATCTTCTTATTTTTATATTTTGAAAATCAAACTGTACACGAAGACTTTGCTTCGATCACTAAGTCTTGCATTTAACACATTAGGAGTTTCTGATAAATAATTAAATATACTAGTATGTAATACAACATATTTTTATTTATCTTTTTCAGTTGATGCTATAGACTGCTATGTGTGCACATCGCTAGATAAAAATAACCCACTATGCATGGACGGATTTAAAAAGAATCTAGCAACATCGATATATATATCTCGAAAATGTGACTTCGATTTTTTCAAGGCTACACATTGTATAAAGCTCAAAGGAGTGAGAGGTATTTTAACTAATTTTTTACCTTAACGATTATTATATTTATGTTATGATACTATTAAGATACAGTTAAGTCCAAAATATTTGTTTTTAAATAATTGACGCCAAAACTGAAATAATTGAAATGGTAATAATAATTTATAACTTTCATTATCAAATTTACTTGATCAATGCACATTAAGCGAAAGAGAATTCACGGTTATAAAAGTCAACTTTTGAAGACTCGCCTTCCTGTCTAAGGCGTATAACTTCCATTTCGTCCTTTATTAAGACATATTACATTATAACCCATTTATTAAACTGACTATATGATTATAAAAACAAAATTATATTCGCGTAGAATTGACATTACAGCAGTGCATCACGGTATCTCTAATTATTCTTCAATAAGTGGAAACAGCGTGGGATAAATGAGGGTTTGACATTACATATTTTAATGGTTAAACATTTGCATAGCGAAGCTGAAATTAAAAATATCAACAAATATAAAGAAGTATTTAGTTGAATGGTAAATGGCCACGCTATTGAATAAATCTTGTTTTATTCATTATACGAGAGAGCTTTTGGTCTGTTATATAACAGCAGAAAGTGTATTTATTACCTCTTTGCATTTAACTGAGAACAAGACTACCTTAATTTGCATACAAAAAAACAAACCGCGCGGTATTATTCATTTAATGAATGTTAGTGATATTACTTTAAATTAGATTTCTTCTTCTCCCTGAAGTTCTAAGCCTGAATCAAATATTTTACAAATGTATATGGACGTTTCTCTTTCACTTCTTTTTGTTTTATCGACATCTTTCGTTATTGCAAGAGAAACACAATGAAAATGGCAGCCACTTCTTTATCTTGAAAAGTCACAACTTGTAGACTTGAAATGAATAAATGGAAACGCTAGGTAAATACATGTACGCTATGAGATAACAATCAACGACACAAAATTCCTGTAAGCGGTCAATTGATAAGGTTCCTGACTGGGGACAGACACATGAAGGATTGAACGGTAGAACTAATTACGAGCTTCACTCTCTTTTATTCTCGATCAGTGGAATAACAAGGGGTTCAAAGATGAAAGTACCAAATACATATGTATAGGAAAATCACTTGACTCTACAATAACAGCATAATAGATAACAAAAAAGTGCTAGCAAACTCACATAATAGTCAAAGAATGACATCAGTTAAAAGAAAGCAAAATACCCGGTTAAACAAAAAATTCCAAACGGAAAGTCCCTTATCGAATGGCAAAGTCAAAAGCTCAAACACATCAAACGAATGGAAAATAATTGTCATATTCCTCACTTGGTACAGGCATTTCCTTAAGTAGAAAATTGTGGATTAAACCTGGTTTTACAGCTAGCGAAACCTCTCACTTGTATGGCAGTCACATAGAGTTCCATTAAATAAACAACAATTTGTGAGCAAAACAAACAGACATAATAGGTAAAAATGTCAAAAATTGGGGTACAGCAGTCAAAATTGTAATATAATCTCAATCAACATAAAAACAAGCAGAAATATTTTAATGTGTTTTTTAGAGGGAATTTACATCCTAATTGTTTATGAGAGTTTGATATTTTGCATTTACCTAATAATTGCAGAGAACATGTTTTTAAAATAATAAATGAACTAGCTGTAATTCCTTCTAAAATCTATGCAAATGTAATTCAACCAAATATCTAATTTTCCTTATAGATTGTATTCAGTGTAGTTGTTTGTTTGATAACATTGTCGATCAAGATATCGTGTAATCGTTTACAGTAACAAAATTAATGTCAAATGATTAATAAGAAAGTTTATTATTTATCAAATACTAAGAATACTATATTTAATCCATATCAGGCATACAAGACATTGGTATCAACATCTTATTTCATCTGATTCATGTCTGTTATATAACTTCTTCATGAAGAAGGATATACCAAACAAAACTTCACTTTAATGAACTAATTAGACATGTGTTTACCGACAGGTTTTATGATTTGCAAAGTTACTTTTCTTAACGAAGGAAGAAGTCATTTAAGTGTGAATTAGTGTTGTCGATATACCTCATCGCAAAGAGTGGTCACAAAGTTTTCCATAATTAATTTCTTAAACTTCAAGTTTCAAACGTTAATAAGATAACCGTATGGTAACACTTAATTTTCTCTCTTGAGTACAGGAACTAAAAAAATGAAAAAAATAAACACAGTACCCATATTATTAAATGAATGTATCCCAGTGTAACCGCACGAGACTGTGTGCTTCCTGATTCTGATTTATTCCTTTTTTCTATACAAAAAAGAAAGAAACCGTAATGAAAAATATATGATGTGTATGTGCACAACGAATATTTTCTTCAACTAGTTTGGAAACCAAAGATATGTTACGAACTACCAATGTAAGAATAGCCAAAATGTCTAAGGTCTGCTTTGCTCTTCAATTCTTGGTAGGAATGTTTTGCTACATTTGATAAATTTTCGAATACATATGGATGCAAATATAAAATGTTCGCAAATAGTAATCTCTCATTTATTGTAAAGAATTTCTTTAGAAAAAGAAATACGAATACCAAATCGTTGGCATGGTATATATAAATATATATATATATATACACGTCTAAACATGTGACAACTTTATGACAGGCATTCACCATCGGATATCACGTGGTTATACAGGGTTTACACCATAATATATTTATAACTACTCTCAAATTTAGCCCAACATTGTTAGATCTTCAAATTTGCTTCTGTGACATCGTGGCAACATCGCCTGCACCGTGGCCAGCGCCCTAGACCACTCGACCACCTAGGCTACATAAAAATATAGCTTTCGGTGTCGATGTAATGCCTTTCCTTGTCGGCTTTATCTTAGGGTTATAACACAGTACATGATGTATAGTGGCAAGTAGATGGTGTTCCTTTCAGATCAGCTATTTTGTTTGTCGTATATATAAGTAAAGTATATGCAGTAAACGTCAACGAAACAGCCACACAAACAACTAAAGATATGAAGAGATCAACATACAACACACACACATACATATATATATAGTGACTAAAAAATGAACCTAACAATAAAAAAGTATAACAAAAATACATAACTCAAGGCAAATTCAAAAAGGGGAAGTCCATAAAAACTGACAAAATCAAACGCTATCAATCAACGGAACAAGTGAAAAACAACTGTAAAACGTTAGAGTAGGTCTTATTCTTAACTTCCTTTCCAATCGGGCTGGACTTTTCCCTCTAATTTTATGACGAAGCCGCATAGCATTGCGCAGCCGCCTTATCACTTTTAACTATAGCTGATTTTATCAGCTTTCATTTCGGGAGGTGTTATCTTCTCGTAGGTATTGAAAAAGGATGATTATCACAAGTATTTTTAAATGTTCAGGACTGATCTTCTACTCATCTCATTAGTATAAATGTATATAGATGCTTCTTCATTTTCCGGACATTTGGGTTTTTCATTATTTCCCTAGAACAACCGATGCAAATAAACTTTAAGCTAACAAGCACGATTGACAATCAATGTATAACTAGATCTTTTTTCCTGAAGATTTTCTGTGCAGGTTTATCGATTGTTCTACTAAAGCAATTCATTAGAGCATTACGTCTTACGGCAGCCTGTATGTTAAAGTAATCTCATTTAATTTGAATCCGATCACTTGATTTCAATGAAGCGGTGTGCTGTTATAACGCATCACCGTTCAGTGTCAGGAAAAATGGTTAATCCAGAATATTGATTCACTAATGTTGTGATGCAGGTGCATTATCAGTCTGAAAAAAAATTCTTTTTCATTTATATAATCTAAAACATTTTTTTTTTAAATATTGTTAGTTTTTCAAGAAAAACAGTAATATTATAATAGAATTCGACCAAATATACAAAAAATGAAGATGCATTGGTTTTTATGGTGTATTTTCTTATCGCTGCAGTACCGCCAGTCAATTCTATTCAGTATTCTCTATAATTAATATAAAAAAAATCCTATACTAACTGTGGTAAGAATTTCATACAATAACATCAATAGACCTTTTCGCTATTTGGAAATCTGCGCCGCTTGAACTATTGACGTCACACAACAATCACTTTTCCATTGTGGCGTCAGTAATTTTCTATTGTGACGTCAAAATTTTACGGGAACATTTGTGATGTCCAGTAATAGCGGACAAATAGCGATAAGGCGTATTGAAGCTTGCAATTGCATTCGACCTAAATATCCACTTTTGCATCTTTTCAAATTTATATCGATTTAATAAGTATGTTTTTAAAATTATAATTATACACTAATGTCATCAACTCAAGAAAAGATGACATTTTTAATGTAACATACGTTTTTTAGTGCGCATCTTAATGGGGACCTTACTTGGAAAAAGTTAAACGTCTACAAATATATGTCCTTGTGAGCTTTTAGTCGCTTATGTTCCTAAACAATTGTTCTACAGAAAATTGAATTATGAAAATATTTGACATGTTGAATCACCGAATTAAATTATATGTCCATAAGGAAAATATGAATTCGTTGGAGGTTCAGTAAAAGACCTTAAATTTATTGCCATAACGGCAACAAAAGAAAGATTGAAAATACCAATCATTACCTTGTTCTGTTGTGAATGAATAGGCGTAAACCTCTCCAATCCAACCCATGCCAAAGACACACACCCATATTAAACCAGTATATTGCGAAAACTAAAATAATTCTTTTTTATTTTGGGTCTAGAACGATGATCGTAATGCCATGTGACTTTGATTTTGCTAGTAAGATTATTTACGACGCCAGGAAAGACTTTTGATATTAAATTATTGAAATGTTGCTTGAAGTCCAATTTTTATAAACTAGTAAACAATATTACAACATTTAATAAGTGTTTAAAATTTCTTATATATCTGTTTTTATGTCTCTGTGGAAAACTACGTTTTCCATCTAGAAGTAATTTCAGTATTTCCAGTGTGCAATGTTTTGCGTGATAAATACCCATCCATTAGAACAGAGTCTACTAAATCAGATATATTTTT